GGGCGCCGGGGAGGGAATCCAGCAGGCCGGGGGGTGCGCCGCTCGTCCCGGAGTCTCCCGCCGAGAGGAAGGAGGGAGCCGGGTCTGGTCTGCGACGAACCGAGAACTTTCCCTGGACGGCGTTGCACGGCTGCGCCGCGCTCCGGCCAGGTTTCGGGACCCGTTTTCCCCAGGGACAGGAGCCCACTCAGGAGCTGGTGTGGCCGGAGCTCGCGTCGCCGTCCCGGGGTCGCGATCGATCGATCAGGGCCGGGCAGGGACCCCGCGTAGGCTGCTCCCACCCGGCCCTGTGGGCGGTGTTGGCTCCCCCCTCCGGGGCCACCCGAAGGTGGGGGCCCCGGTCGTTCCTGTCGGGGCAGAACGGAGTCCGCGGTGCTGGCGCAGCGTCTGGGTTTTATCTCGAGACCCCCAGGTGTTGTTCCGGGCGTGCACAGGACTGCGGATTGCTAAGTGAGGGCCGGAAAGGCAGGTCCACTCCGCGCTCTTAGCTCGCTGGGGTGGGGAAGGGGGCAATGACAGCTTTCGAGGCTGTTGGCTGTAGGACTTAGGGCAGCCTGAAGAAGCTGACCACGCTTTGCCGAAAGAAAAATAAACAGCAGGGGCGGGGAGGAAGAAATAGACGAAGGTTAAGTATTTTCCCATCAGTGTGTGGTTTCTGTCTCTTCTGATCTTAGGTCTAGTTGACTAATACTTGCCCTTTATACACGAAGGTGTCTTTTAAGAATACCTGAAAAGTTCAGTTTATAATCAAGCAGCTTATTTTTTTCCTTCAAGGTTTTCCTTTGGAGGCTCAGTTGCTCAAATGAAGGATTCCTAAACACCGCGTTCCCCGTGTGCACGTTACATTACACAAACAGTTCATAATTTGAGGCAGCATAGCAATTGGAAACAAATATGGAGCCAAGACCAAGCAGAGAACTGAGGCCATTCTGTTCTCCACCCCGTCATCTACCAAATCCTCAGAAATCCCTCAGCGTTTCTGCCAGGTTCATTTTTCATAATCTAGTACAAATCTTGGTCTACTTTGCTATCAGGGAAGGCTGCTCATAAATAATCTTGGAGATAGTATGTTTGTAAACATTATGGGAAAAGTAACAGGATCCACGCTTTTTGTTTAAAATATTTAAAATTTCAATGTTTCTGTTTTCTAAATTTTTAAAAAGTTATAATGAAGAACTTTTGTAACTGATAGAGTTTTAGAACTCAGGTAATCATAGGTCTTTTAAGATCCAGCCAGCCAGAAGAATGAAAAATTTCTCCAATTTTCCTTCTAATTTATGCATTTTATCCTGGACCATCCCTTTGAGATGTCTGTGTTTGGTCTTAGTTTGTGAAAGTCTTATAGGATGAAATACTTTTTTTCCTCAGTGCTGGGATTTGAACCCAGGGCCTCTTGCGTGTCAGGTAGGTGCTGTACCACTGACCTGTACTCTCAACCGGGTGATGGGAATCTCACTGGCAGAATTAGAACAGAGATAAGAGTGCTGGAGAAGGAAATTAAAAATAAAAATTAGATTCTGTCTAGTTCTGAGTTTTTCATATTTAAGACGGTGGGGCTTAGTGATTTTCTGACCAAATAGGAGAGATGAGGTGTGACTACGTGTAGAATTTACATGGTGCAGAAATGGATCCATAGGTAAAATTTAAGCACCGCTTTTCTTCACCACCAGGCAGGCTCAACACCACCTCACAAAGAGGCGCACGGGAGGGAAACTGCCCGAGCAGGTTCATTTCAAAGCTTTCCAACTCCTTCTGTGGGGGCGCCAGTGAGCAGCAAATGGAGACAAGGACCAGCAGCAGGAGGATTGGGGAGCCGGTAGGGGAAGGGGGAGGGGAGGAGAAGGAGGAAAGTAGATTAAAGTCAGGGCTTTATTAGCCCATGATAAAACTGCTGACCCCTGAGAGTAAGTTGGGCTTTAAAAATATTTAATCTTCTAGATTGTTACTGTAGCATGTATTCCGATAAGTTGTAAACATTTTCCCTAGGAGCCATTTTTTAGTTACTTGTAAACTTGAATACAATGACCTCAAAAATCCGCACACACCTCTAATGCCAACACACTGAGGCCGGAGGATGAGAAGCTTGAGCCCAGTCTGGCCACTTAGCAAGACTGTATCTCAAAGGATAAGAGGCTGGGATGTAGTTTAGAGCAAAGACCTTGGATTTAATCCCCAGTACAACAAAACAGCACAATACAATGCACTTTGGGTTACTTAAAGGTAAAAAGTAAAAAACAAAAACCAGGGGTGAGGGATGAGAATAACACGCGAAGGCCCTGGGCTCAGCTCCTAGCACCTTGGGGTCAGGAGGATAGGATGGCTTTTGGAAATAAGCTGAGCATTTATTTTTATTTTTATTTATTTTTATTATTATTAATTAATTTATTTTTGTACCAGGGGTTGAACTCAGGACCTTGTGCTTGCCAGGCAGGCACTTAAGCCACTGAGCTATCCCCTTGGCCCCTATTTTTATTTTTTGAGACAAGGTTTTGCTGTGCAACCCATGCTGGCTTCAAACTTGCCATTCTCTTGCCTCAGTATCCTGAACAGCTGGGATTACGAGATGTTGCGGCGTGACTGGAGTTCAGACGTGTGCTCTTCCGATCTGGAGAAGTAGAGAGCAGGGAGCCCACAAGCCAGGAAGTCATATTTTAATGAACAAATGAAATATTAAAAGTTATTCTGACTCATTTTCTTGATACTGTGAGATGAACACAGTTGTTTGGTTTTTTGTTTGTTTGTTTTTTTGTTTTTGCATTAACAATACTTTAGGGGCTGGGGAGATGGCTCAGTGGAATAAGCACTTCCCTGGCAAGCGGAAGGGTCTGAGTTCAATACCCAGTTCCACCAAAAAAAAAA